GCCTAGAAGCCTTCAAGATAAGCATCATGAATTTAGGAATGAAACACAAGAGAGCAAAACATGAAACAAAACTAGACATCAACCTTATGCAGCCAAGGGATCCTTATGCATCAAAAATACTCCCTCCATCTTAAAATAAGTGTCTCAACTTTGTACTAGCTCTAGTACAAATTTGTACTAAGCTCAAGGCACTTATTTTGGGACGAAGGGAGTACCATGTAAAATATACTCACCGAGGGATAAGATTTCAGCATGGCGACAATTGCTGTGTAAAGAAATGCAAGGAAGCACGGTCGCTGCTTCAAACGGATAACCAATGGCAACACCATAAAAATGATGTTCATTTTAAAGGCTATAAGAAAGAAGCTTCTGAAGAAGTCGAAGACTTCGGCAAAGAAATGCCTGCACTAATTCTCAAACGAATTAGACGAGTCAAACTATACTTAGGTTCCTTCCAATTACACTTTCTTAAGACTTACCATAACACACCAATATTAGGTGATAAATCCTTATGTCCTGCAAAACCAATGCACACCAGTCAATACTAGGCATTTGGTAACAGTTAATTGCAATGCACATAAGTCGATAGTAGGCATTTGATAACAGATAAAAGACAGTCAATTGCAACAAAAGATGACTTTGACTAAACAACAAAGTTGACATGTTGGGGAAATGGAGAAGATGGCAATAATGCTGATCCGAGTATACAAATATCCAAAATTAAATTTAATTGATAAATAAGAGATGTATTCATTTCTCTTTTAAAATTCACCGTGAATGGGGAAAGTCTTCACAGACAATATTACACTCTTTCACATGATCTTTGGCTACAAAAGTATTAAATGGTTGAGCATCGCATCCCCAACCCGCCGACGATGACCTGCAATCCACAGCCGCCACCCCATCCATCAATCGATCTCTTGGACAGCCTAGCAAAAACCTACCCGCGGAGGATCTCAGCGGCTCCGACGGTGGAATAGGACAACGAGGCGGCCCGGCAGAGAACCGATCTCGTGGCCGAGCGGCGGCTCGGGCGGACCATTCCATTGTTTCTTCCTTCCTCTCTTTTGGGTATTGCGTGCGTGGGCGTCCCCGGAGAAACAAAAAACCGGGGCGAGAGGATGTTTGGTTCGGCAAATAAAAATCAGTGGGCCAAGAAGTGAAGCGAAGGACGTAATCAAACGGAGGTTCCCCGTGGCGGTGTGGTCACAGACGCCTCCTTTTTGCAAGCCAGATCAAGGCGTGTCCTTATTTTTGGAAGCCTAATCAAGACCATTCTTTATTTTTGATAGCCAAATCAAGGCGATTCCTTTTTTATTGGCAGCCAAATCAACACGCCTCCCTTTTCTGGAAGTAAATATTAAAAAAGTGGCATCCTATGGTTTCTAGTGGGGTTTATTTTTTTAATTAATGGGAGGAAAAAAACTGAGTGAGAGGGGGTGGTGGGTGGTTAGGCGAAAAAAAGTGGGTATCGGCCTACCAACTGAGACTTTAGGAGTAGAGATGCATATCATTGACACTCTGGATTTTCCTTTCCGGTCTTAGAGCTAGATAATATATCACAGAGGGTAATATGTCTAAGCCCTAGAGGAAGCACACAATCCGCATCTCGGAAGATTGGGATGCTCATTACTATCGATTACTGCTTTGTCCATACCCCCATTTTAGGTCGTTGGAATTTCTAGTAACCTCTCATCCCATATATTGAGTTTCATTAGTTTACATGAGGAATCTATCTTTGAGAGTTTTTTATCCTTTCATTTTTAAAAATGATTTTAATTTTTGTTCACTTTTTTGTTTAGAAGCAACCATTGATTGATTTAGTTTGTTTAAATACATGTTACTCACTAGAGATGATCATCTGTAATGTGATGTAATCAAAGTAAGATGAGAAAAATAATAAGGCACATTGATCATTACACTACTTTAATAGCTTTGGTATTATCCCGAACAAGTAAGAAATAAGATTAAGACATGATCCACAACATTGAAAATGTGAGAGCACTAAATATATGATCACCACAGTATGATATTCATATGTTCAGCTTGATTGGACTCCTCGAAGGTGCAATTTTGATATCCTCTACCTCCTCGAGCGGGATGTGCTTGCTCCGGTCGCCGTTCAACAAACCTACCCATGGTTCCAGGTCCAACCCTCAGCTCCACAACCTCCTCCTGGTAGCAAATTTACCAAGTTCCTTTAGCCTAGAGAGCCTTTCTAATACATTCTGGTAAGCATTTAGCAAGCATCCTTCTGAGATCTTTTAATCCTCCGACCCCTTCATCTCTTGCCCATAATTCAAAAAAATTTAGAAAAAAATAACAACACAGATGGTTCTAAAACCGGCCTGTACTTTGTCTATAGAACCTTCCCAAAACTGCTCTACTGGGCCGGCCTACTAAGGCGAGCACATAGGCGAGTTGGTGCTAAGCAAGATATAGCACTGGTGGTGGGGTGGTGTTTCGTGTCTCTAATTTTGTGCACCACCCTTTTTGGTTTGTCTTTGCATGCGTGGATATTTTATTGGGCTTGTGTCGTTCAATTATGAGACCAAGCAGATCGATCGACCGATGAGCGTGAGCAAGTGCGGGATGGTGGTGAGCAACCACTTAGTGTCGCATCCTAGGAGGAGTCATGCTTGGGTAAGGATCACCTCCTTCTTGGCGGCAGGAAGTAGGTTCAAGTAGCTCACAATCACATATCTTTGAAGCGTGGCAGGTAGTCAAAGGATGGAAGTGGAGGTAGGGAGATCAAGATGCTGTGATATCGCGCGACGAAAAAAGCACATGCGGTGGCGAGAGCCGAGAGGAAGGCATTGGCTGAGGTGTCAAGGTTTCAGCTGTGACTAATTTGGCCATGTCAAGGACCTCCTTAGCGTGGCTAGGTGAAAGGTAAGGTGGATCACAGTGGAGGTGATGGCGGCGAAGGTGGCAGTGAGCTTGTAGGTGCGGTAGGGGCCTGTGAGTGGTGGGGGATAAAGGACACGATATGGGTTTTGGAGTTGTCATTGTTGGTGAAGGCAGCCTACAGGATGAACTCTAAGTCGCTGGCCTTGCTATCTAGGTCACAAGATGTACAAATGAGCAAGCCGAAGCTCAAGCCCGAGCCTGACAACGCTCCCCCAACCCCCATCTCGCGCGCACTACATGACCAACATGTCGACCCATCGTGCGCTTGTGTCTGTCGATGCCGGAGAACATGAGGCACCCCCTTTGTCCTCGCGACAGACTTGTTTTACCTTGTTTGGAAAGTGCTACCCTACAAATACACATCAAGATTCTCCCGATACTTGTTGATGAAACTCAACATGGATGGGGGGGGAAGGGGTTAAATTCATCATTATTGATTGCCCTGCATTGTCACAATAATTCGCTCCATCCAAGGGCTTCCCAGGAGTTACCCCATAAAAGAATAATACTCTTCGCTCTAAATATAGCAACATTCAGTTTCACCCGTTAAAATAAACACTCGTATGTTTGGAGTGCCCAATAAGAATGCATGCTGTTTTGTACTGACTGCTAGCTAAACATCAATTGTTTTTTTTTCAGACTTGTTCACGGGACTGTCCACCTATTACCAAAATATGTCACTCATCTCTCCGTACTTCCATGATCGAAGGATCTATGGTGAGAGCCCCAAGATTGATCCCGAAAGAGATAATCCAGAATAAGAAAAGGTTTCGGAGGTCAACATCGACCATGAATGGAGAGTTCAATAATGATGCTCATTCATTGAGGAAGTTTTCATTTTCCCTTGGTGGAGGCAGACATGTATGGCTCATGGGGCGCGTATTCGACGCTCTCTTCGCAAATAATGGGTTAACACACAGAGAATTTTGTGGTGGACGGACCCAATAGGGCGTTGAGCGCTTCTCTAGCTAATTTCCTTCTATTTATTTTTTTACTTTGGGTTTTTTAGCCATTTTTTTTAAACAAACGATTGCCGTATTTTTTAGATATTTCAAAAATTATTTTTTAAGAAAACAAATCTTCATGAATTTAAAACATACTCCTGAATACAAAAATGTTCTCAATTTTTTAATAAATCCCTAAATTTGAAAGATTTTCTCAAATATTGAAAATGCTCTCTAATACAAAAAATATTCTCGAATGTTAAAAATGTTCTAAAAACAGAACAATAATTCCTGAATTGTTGAAATAAGATCGATTTTTTTTCTGAAATTCAAAAAAATCATGCATTTGATAAGGTTCTTGAGTTAATAAATGAACATTTGCCAAAGTTTGAGTGCATTAAAAAACAAAGATAATAAAATAAAAACTAGAAAATGGAAAAAGGAAAGGAAAAAAGGTAAAAGACAATAGAGAAAAAGGAAATAGAAAAATAGAAAAGAAAATAAAACAGCCTGAAACATTCTAGAAGGTCCCTAAAACCAGAAAATTTACAGTTGCAGTCTTCCCACTAACTAAAATGCGCCTGCCCAGTTGGTCGCTCGCCTGGCTAGATTTGTGTGATAGCCCAACTATTTAACGCGATAAGTGACAAATAGGATTTGCCCCCCTTAAACTTGTCATGGCCATAAAAGTTTGGACGTACAGAAATTTTTGGACCAGCCTGGGAGCGAACTATGCCCACCTAGGACTCCCTGTATAAAACCCCCCCGAAACATTGCCCTTGAATTCTTATGTAAGTTATCTTTACCTTGTATCGCCCTGAAAACAGTTCAACCAAACTTTATCCCAAGCCAGTTGAATTTCATCTAAAACTTTAAATTTTATTTGGTTATTTCATCCAAATTTCGAAATTCATCGATTTCAGAGGCCTCTGATTTTTATTCCTTTTGGGTTTAAACCCCGAACCTTGCTAGAGACAGAGATGATTGATGCCCACCCAGGATCTCCAAGTTGATACAATATCGAGAAAAAATATAGGAACCGTAATGTGAGGATTGCCAAAGTTGAAATTCGGCACAGTACATTTTATTAGCAACAATCTCTGAATTCATGAAAGTAAATTTGGAGCCAGACTAATTTTGAATTAACTACATCCAAAATGCTTGAGCTTCAAAAAATTTATTGTACCTAGACACGCTGTAAGAGCGAGCGCGCCGGCGAGCCGTGACCACGGGCTCACCTTCCTCGCCACGCTCCACACAAAAAGAGGTCAGCCGGAGCAGACAGGTTTCGGCGTCAACCAACTGAACCAAGCACTTGTCTTGGTCGTTCACCTTGGGTCTCAGACGCTCCATGAGACAGTACTCGCTACCGCCGCCTTCGGGAGATGACATGGGCACGAGCTTGGTGTCGATGTGGCTCCAGCCAGCCTCGGCGTCCTCCTCGAGACAGAACAGCTTCTCCCTGCCGTCCTTCCACTCTGAGGGAGCACTCAAGACATTGCCGGCGCAGAGGTAGCCATCATCGACGGCATCCAGACCAACCCACGCGTCGAGACCATGGTCGTAGTAGGCGTGGCCGACGACGGGCAGCCGCCAGTCGCCGAGGCATGTCCACTCATGACTCGTGGTGCTGAAAGAGAAGGTCTTGTAGGTCTTGCTCACGTCCCAAGCAGACACCAAGATCTGGTGGTCGTGCGGGGCCGCTCCTAGCGGGGCATGCACCGCATGCGCCAAGATGTTGTCGGCGTCGAAGGGGAGCATCAGAAGATTCTCACCGCTACTCCAACGCCACTGCGACGAAGCGGACACCGGCTGCCAATTCCAGAGCTTGTCGTCGTCTCCTCCGGCTGCACGGGCGGTGAGGCAGTGCAAGCCCGATGCAAAAATAGTTTTGCCGTGGCCGACGTACTTATAATATCTCTCAAACCCACATGACTCGAACAAATACAGCCTGTTGCCGACTGTAATGGCTGCCGTGCAGCCGCAGCCGTCAAGGAGGCTTTTCGGGAGGTAAGGCGAGACGACCTGCGCCGCCGTCTTGGTGTCATAGATGAGGACGCCGCCGACGCCGACCTCTTGCCATTCCATATCTCTGGTGATGCTGGTAGATATGGCGACAATGCTGCTGCCAACCGCGGCGAACTGCACATCATCGGGGACAGTGGGAAGCGCCACGCGGAGGACCGGAGGCTCCGGTAGGCCCCCCGTGCCGCCGTCAAGATCGTCGTCGTTGGCGAGGTCCAGCTTGTGGATGCCGTGTCCGTCGCTGTGGTCGTCCAGAACCACGTATAGATGCCGCTTCGCCGCCGCCGCCCGATGCTGCCGGTTGGCCTCAGCGAGCAGATCGCCATTGGAGTTGGAGTTGGAGGTGTATCCTCGTGAGCCGATCAGGTCATCTCTGCCGAGAGCGGCTGTCAGCTGGCTCGCACCGTGGCGGAAAGGCGGCGACGGGAGAGAAGGAGGTGTCGAGGCTGTCCGAGGAACGATCGCCAAGCCAACATCGTGTATCGGCGGCGGCCGGAGGTTAGGGTTGAGGAGGAAAAGACCTACCAGATCGGCGATCACTAGTAGAAAATGAATTGACCGCTCGATCCAATTATGCTACGCGACGCGCTTATTTGCGAGTATAATTTTTTTATAGAAAAATTACTACGTAACCTCTACTACTCCTATGTTAATAAGCACTTAGGATTTGGTCAATTTTTGTATATACTCCTCCGTCCTGAAATACGTCCTAAAATAAGTGTCTTAATTTTTCCTTTTACGAGACAACTTTTAATTTATTCACCAACTGTCAAGGTAGTATAAAGGGCATCAGTAATAAGAATTACATCCAGGTTCATAGACCCCTAGCGACGACTACAAACACTGAAGCGAGGCGAAGGGACACCGCCGTCATCGCCCCTCCCACATCGGAGCCAGGCAAACATTTTTGTAGTATACAGTCAGGAAGTCGTCGTGCTAAGACCTTATAGGACCAGGACACCAGAACATCAATCGCCGCCAACTGTAGTATACAGTCGGGAGCAACTTGGTGAATGTCGCACCAGCACCTGCTCACGCAATCGCACCTGCTCATAGCAGCCCGTCCTCCGTCTCTGGCATGCTCAGCGGGGCTTCGTCTTTAGCTGAGGTCGACGCCCTCCCGACAACTACCTGTCACATCGGCCCTCTTCAACACACACACACACACACAGAGATAGAGAGAGAGATAATCTTTCGTTTCCTTTGCCTTTCGGATGTCTGACGTCGCAGCCATGTCTTCGTATGCCGACGAAACCCCGTGCATCATATCATACACCATCCGCGGCTAGAAGGTGGACGCGGGAAAGACAACGATAATGAAGCCGAGGGAACGCTTGTTCCACAACCGTCCGATGCCCCATGGCGTCTTCAAGGTTTTCGTGGCCAGTGTCATAGCGGGCCACAAGAATTTGGTTCCTCCGGTACAAATACGGGAGTATGATGATGAGACCCCGCCGCGGCTTGGCGATTTATGGGAGTATGACGATGAGACCCCGCCGCGGATTGGCGATTGCAAGAGTTGGGTCCTGTTGTGGCTGAAGGGTCTCCTTCGTCTGAAGGCGGCTGGTAGCACACCAACGAGAACACCCCAGCAAGGTATTAACACCACCTCACCTACCTAATTAGCGGCACCCGTCGTCCCGAGTGATAGCGGATTACGTGAGGAAGAGGCTCCACTTGTGGTTGATGACGTCCCGAGTGATAGCGAGTGATAACTTTGAATTTATGCACGACGAAACTTTGTGATGTAATTAAACAGTCCTCCTCAACTAGCATAGATCACTTTAATAAATTAGTTTGGATATGATGAACTTTTTTATTTATGTTTACGATATGTTGCTTCTACTTTTACTAACTCTGTCTCTTTGTGTTGCTCAACTATAGATTATGTTGCATATTATTGATGAATTCATCATGTGCCGATGCAGGTATATAGATTATAGACGGCGAAGAAGTGCTACGCCGTTTATGTAGGGAAGGTTCTAGGAGTGTACGACGAGTGGCTAGAGTGTCAGACCGATGTGTCGGAGTTCCCGGGCAGCAACTAGAGAGGTTTCGATAGCAGACGCGAAGCAGAAGCTAGTTACTTGTGGTTCAGGCTTGCACGAGAGAGGGATCGGTACCGGCGCATCAAGTATTACATTATGGCACTCTTGCTCATAGTGATCGCTCTTCTCTTCTGTATCATAGTTTAGATATAGATGATGAAACATGTGTATGTGATGACCATGGAGTTGCTTGTATCCGAGACATGTTGCATAACTTGTATCGCTATATTGAGATGACGATGAGAGACATCATTTGTGTTGGACGATGTGATGATATGATAAGACTATTATGTGTATAATATAATGAGAATATTGTTTGTTTACGATATGATCAGATTACTGTATAAAATCTGTACAAATACATCGCAAATACATAGCAGAAAAAAAATTATGCGTAACGCAGGTTAACAAGAAGTAGTAGCGCCGGTAGGTTAGGAGCGCAGGGTGGAGTACCGCGCTACAGATATATAGCAGTAGCACTGGGCAGACCAACGCTACTACTACAAGTTAGCTGTAGCGACGTAGTAGTAGCGCCACCCGTGCTACTCGTAGGCAAAAGCCCAGCACTACTGCTAGGGTTTTCCCTAGTAGTGGCGGCGGCACGGTGGAGCCGGCGTCGACGATTACAACAGATGGGTGGAGGCGTGTGGCGACGATGGGTTGAGGCGAAGAGGCCAGTGGGATGCACCACGTCGATTTTATGATGGGGGAGAGGAAGTGGCCAGTGTAGCGCAAAAAATATATGAAACTAAGCCAAACCCGTTATATCAGACACTCGGCTTACATGCTTGGTATTTTCTTCAAAATGGTTTTTCCTTTAAAAACGAAAGGCTTATGTAAGCCGAATATGTCGTTAGAGGGCACTTGACCTATAGAGACCGTTGTTGTTCTGTTAATTGCAGTGGGATTGACCACATGACAGAATATACCGAGTTTTTTTGTAAGTGGTGTGTGTTTTATGATAGAGTCATTTTACGGTGCATCCGGACGATATGGACCGTCCGTCGGAGCGAATTCGACGGTCCAGATCCGATGTAATACGCTGATGTCACGTGTATTATATCAGACCCCGAGGGGCATTTTCGGGCGAAAAAAATATTTCGAACTGATATGATTTTCCCTCCCAAATATTTCAGGGGTATTCTCGGTACGAATTTCCGGGCTTTTTCGGTTCGGTTTTTTATCCCGTTCTTATTCCTCGCCGCCGCTAGGGTTTTATCCCGTTCTTATTCCTCGCCGCAGCCCCTCCCTGCCTCGTCGCCGGCAGGATCTAGCCGCGCGTCGCGGCCCCTCCCTCCCTCGTCGCCGGCAGGATCTAGCCGCGCGTCGCGGCCCCTCCCTCCCTCGTCGCCGGTAGGATCTAACTCCCTCGCTATCTCGCACCACCTTTTGAACGAACACTAGAGAAGGCCCACTGCCCTCCACGCGGCGGCCGCCGGCGAAGAGTCGGCGCCATCACACCTCCTAGTCCTCCATGCGGGTCCTCCAATTGGTTGTTAATTTGCGTCCTCTACATATCATTTCTCAGTCATGGCTACAGCTTTCATCTGGCCATGCATTATGGATCATGTTCTGCGGGACTAGATGAAGCCGGCCGCCGGCCTCGACGGCCAGCCCAACGTTCAATCGTTGCATTCAACATGTATTCTTTCAATTTGGCTAATAGGTGAGAATTGGAGATCAATAGAGATGATAAGCTATTAATTTTAGAATGTACTATAAACAATTCATAGCTTATGTTGCTCAATATTTATGATACTCGCTTCTTCTTGTGCAATTGCTGGACTGGGATCAACAGACTTGGCATGTGCTTTATATGAAAAATTAGATTCACATGGGATATCCACCTTTTCAAGATTGCGGTTAATTCTTATTATGATGTTTTAGCCTTGTTAAAGGGAGAGTAATGGTCCTCGCAAAAAGCAAAGAGAAAGGATTGAGCATTTCATTCTTCCATATGTTGCATTTCATTCTTCCGTGTTTAGTTATGTCCAACATTTGTTACATGCACACACTCGACAAGGTTAGTACAAGTAGTAATTTTTCCTTTGTTTTGCAGGGCTATGACAGAACATGCTATGTGATTCCGTGAGGCAGGATGGATGTACCATCGCCACACCAGTGTGCTCCTCAAGGTAACCGCTTCAATTCAGCGTTGCAGCACCTATAGAGGCCCCCTATGGTACGTGCTTTACTCTTGTTATCCTATGCTCTATTTTTTTGGCTTTGCGGCCTGCCTACGAGACATAGCTGGGATTGCTTTTTCTCTCGTATGAAAATAGACATATCATAATCCACTATTCTTCTAGGGTTGCCCCAGGCACCATTACTGTCACATGGTACTAAAAAGCAAATATTGATTTCTATGAGATCCCGTAGAGACCAAATTTATTTCAAGCAAAATATAGTAACCAATATTATTGAAGTTTTACAACTTGACTCATGTGCAATGGACTAAGAACACGGCTAGGAAACCTTCTTCGGGACTAAAACCCAACCACACCCTACTCTATCGCTTTATGGCCAAGTGAACACTCCACACTGCTGGACTAACTGCTTGCATCTTCGTCGTCTTCAACCGCAACTGCATCCGATAGCCTAGCATGGTACTGCTTGAACCTATTCTTGTACTTCATTTTGTTGTAGGGTGAATTGACAAGCACAACAGGTAGCTCTTTTCTGCATTTCTCGATGTACGCCTGCATGCAAGGATATGTTAGTATCGTTCCTTTACCTTCAGAAAATGACAAAATTTTAGGTGTTACTCTACGTACTTCGTCATACTGCTTGCTCAGTTTTAGTCCCGTAAATAATTCGATGTTCTTCAGCATGTACAGTGCACAACATGAACTGCAACATTTTATGTTGTTAGATCAGCATTTCAGATATTAGCAATCTAAAATAAAAACAATAGCTAATATTTTTGACTGACGTTTCATCGGATTTTGGCACTTTAATGTTCTGTACTGGCCATTGCGTCACGTTAATGTCTTCCCATGCATTGCTTTCTATCCCATTGACTCGCCTCGCTGCTCTCAGATGTGCTTCCATCCCACGTACCTGCAAGACCAATGGGATGAGAAATTGCCTACGACTAATACTTACATATGATGTCAAATCCTTTGTTATAATTAAATATGTTGAAATTCTCACCACGTTATGTACTTCTTTGGGTATCATACAGTGGAAAAGTGAATCAAGAACCTGAATCTCCTTCCTTCTGGGGTTTACGACCACAAGGAACCAGTGGACGCCTTGTTTTTTCGTAGGTAGGAAAACCTGGATTGCACAGATAATTAGATCAACATGTATAGTAATAAAAAAATCTGTTCAAAGTCAAGTTAAAATACCATATCATGTTTCAGGTAGCTGGTGCCTTGTGTTGTTCCAGGAATGCCTGCCAAAGCGTCCTCGTAGCACTCCTCTATCCTACCATCTCTTTCGAGCTTAGCGACGCCGGCCACCCTCTCAATGTAAACCAGTTGGCCGTCCCTTGTGTCAATTGGGTCATCATGACGCATTAGCTGGATCGCAGCATCAACCACCTACAACAATAATCAAGTTAATTGTATTGTACAAAAATGAAACTTGATAAACTAATTTGTGAAATATCTTACTTCGTCACCCAACCATACGGCTTCTTTAGGTCCATCTTTTTGGGTGAAGCATTGCAAATGCTTCGATAGCACGACAATGTCATCAACTATGACCATTTGTTTTTCTTGATTTGTACTGTTGATCAGTGACGCCATGAAATCCTGTCGAACCACATCTAGCTGTTCGCTCAGGGTTTCATTAATTTCTCACCTCTTTTTTAAGTTGCTAGAGCCGATTTTCCTCTTTTTATTGTTCGTGTCCTCAGAACCATTTGTAGACTCTGATGGAGTCTTGTTTTTCCTTTTTTTTCTTCTCAGTATCGTACGAAGCATACTCGTCATTCTTAAATGATTGCAATACCACATACGATTCAACCACACTTACTTCTTGCTGCTTTCGTAAGGGTTCATCATGGATGTCATCATCTGCGAAGGCACGGGGCTCTTCGGGCTGTCGCGATCCCGTAGCCTTCAGAGAGTGCTGCTTACTCCATATGTTGAACGGAATCTGTCATACGAAATAAACCGCATGTTAACCTTTAGCAGATTCTTGCACAATTATAGGTAAAATGTGCATCACCTGGAATTCTTCAAGGCTTGTGGTGGCTTTGGAATGCATTTGCTTATCCAAACTAGGACCACCCTGGATATCATCCACCTCTTTCTAAAGCTTATGAATACCACTGAGATTCCATTTGATTTTTCTTTCAGCTCTTTCTAATGCTTCATCCTGTACGTGCAAGATCACATGTTATTTCTGAAATGACAATGATTGTTTCACAAGTTAACATGCGTACGTCAAACTCTTCATCAAGGTTCTTCATTGGGGATCCATGTCATCATTATTTATTCCCTGCTTACAATGGTGCTTAGCAACGACCTCCGTGACATCATTTTGTTTCCCCTGGTCAGAAGCCTGCTCAGCATTCTCAACAGAGGCCTCCATTAGGTGTGAAGGTGCCCTGAGGTCAGAAAGATGTATGTCCTCCAGTCCTGGAAATATCCCGTCGCGTTTTGTCTTTAAAAAATACATGTTAGTCTGGGGTGTTTTCATAGTAAACTAATTTAGAAAAAACTTTGTACACGTAAATTTCCAATTATATATACTAATCTCATAATTCTAGGCTTACGTTCAATTCTTTGATGAGGTCCTCTGTGAGCTTGCCATTTGTATGGGTACGCCTAAGGCACTCATCCATTTTCTTTTCAAGGGTGCACATCCTATCAACTTGTTGTGCACCAGCCTCCCGCACGAGGGAGGCAACTTCTTGCAAATCAGTCAAAACACGTCCGACGAGTACCTTCGTCTGAGACTTTGAAACAGTTAGAATCATATAACTTCATACTAGTTGCAATGTTACAATATATATTGGGTGCCTGATGTAACTCGTTTACCTGAGCACCAGTCTTCGGTTTGGCCAGCGTACCATCTTGTGCTGGAATGAAAGGCCTCATCAGGTCCTCAACATACTACAGTTTAGTGTCGTTAGTATGATTTAGAAAATATACATGTTACATAATCCAGGCAATGTGCTGACATTTTACCTCTCCAACTCCCAGATAATTATTCTGGATTATATTGTCAACCTTTTTTGCCTTCTCCTCGCTCCAATTCTGGATCAGCGGCCTTAACCTTGATTCATATGAGATGCTAGAGTCGAATTGGTGCACTCTGAACTTCTAGTAGTACCATGTCTGCATGACAACAAAAGCAGTTTACAAATATTCTCGTACATTATGTAATGTATGTTAGGACATGTGATAATTGTACTACTACGAGTTACCTGCAGCAGTGCTAGATTCCCCTCCAGAATTGCCTCGCCATTTACAAAATTCTTCACGCTATCCATAAGATAGTCAAGCGTTAGCTGTTCAAGATTTGTGCCCTTTATCGTCTCAACGTTTCTAACAATCCCAATATATTTGTTATCCACATACTCCTCTTTTGTTCGGCATACATATTTACCTATGGTGTACAAGACAAATGGCCTGACAAAATTTGGTGTGTTGTCTCCTTTCATCTTGGCTAGCAATCCTTTGAAAGTTATTTTGGTGTCATTACGGTCTTTCAGTTTCTTCCACAACTCCATATTATCATCAAGATTTGAAGGGACGTGCTTCTTCCCATGGCAGGGCATGCCTATTATATGCGCTACATCTTCTAGTGTGAGCCTACATGGTCTCCCGTTGATGATAAAGGCATCCTGCTCTGCATCATATGAATTAGCGATGGCCATGCACAGTACACGTCTTAATTTGATGCTAGGTGTCTTGAGAAGTCCACCCAGTCCTATCAAGTGGATGTACATCCTTTGCTGCGTGTTTAATCCCTTTATGAACTCCTCATATGGCGGCAAAGAAGCATCCTGGGTTCAATGGATGTGCAAGTGTGATTATATTCAGCATGGTATACAATTTAAACACTCATACAGATGAATACAACTTATATATGCCAACATAAAAATTGTGCTCTACGCTACTTCATGAGGTAATTTGTTTACAAGAAAGCTGAGTTCCATGAATGTGCAAATACTAGCATTAGATTCAGCTTGGTTACGTTTGAACAGTCATATAAGGTAATCTCCATTGCAAGGCGCTGATCTGAAATAAAATCAAGATTCGAAAATATAAAACTATCCAACCATGGTCTCCTCAACTCTAGGCGCTAATCATGGTCAGTACTATGGAATTAAAACATGGGCCATCGATGCCTTCCATAACTCGTGCGGAAGGAAAAAAGAAGGCAAGCACCCACTGCCCTAATTGGCATCGAGAAGACCAGAACCTAAGATTTAGCCTGGAATTAATCAATGAACTGCCAATCTGGTAGGAAACAAATCCTAGCGCCCTCCCATAACACCCCCCGACTTAATTTCTTTAAAAACATGCTGAGTTACATGAATATGCAAACAACGAGTGGGGTTGCAGCAAGAGATCATGGGATTAAGATCGTGGCACGAAAAATAGCAGCGGTTGCAGCAGGAGATCGTGGGGAGTTACCTGAGGATTCATGTTTGGCTCCGTTGTTCGGTCTTGCTGGATTCCTGGGTTGCTCCGTCCTTCAGTCTTGCTGCTTTGGGCGGCGCAGAAGGACGAACTATGATCTATGAGGTTATAAAGGATCCCTATTTATAGGGATCATAACAACCAGGGCATATATCCACGTATAGATTTCTTCGGTTGGAGGAAATCAAGGGAGGGGACCCACCACATAACAACACTTAGGTCTCCTGAGAATCACGATCGTCAAAAAGATATAGTTCCCGTTTCTTTGGAATACAGCCAAAAGAACTGGACCGCTATTATTTTTTTAGGGCAAGCATCTGCGGCATGATCAACGCGTCCAGCCCGCGCAACCACCACCTCTCCTGTGTGATCCCGCGCAATCACGCCCCATCCCTCTTGCATGCCATCTTCAATGAATGCCCCGTCCACATTGAATTTAATCATATCCTCTGGAGGATGGGACCAGCGAGGCACGCTTGCTGGCGGGCATGTTGTTTTGCAGAAACACCCCTGGTACTCTTCGGCCGTGCATGCAACCCTAGCAGCGAATTGCGTGTGATCCATCGGCTCGGCTTGTCTCCCTCTCGGACTTTGTTGCGCTGAGCCCACCATTGCCACCACATGATGATAACCAACATCCGGTCCTAAAGTCAACTAGGATTAACTATTCACACGTGAAGTATTTTCTTTTTTCTTGTGAAGCTATTTTATTGCCCATCCTTGCTCATACCTTTTCTCCTCGTATATGTGAGACCAAATTTTGTTGATAATACTAAATCATGTCTGGTGCTGCTCAAGATGGCACGACACCATGGTTTTCGCTTCGGTGAGATTCAACACTCACTGCAATATTTGCCTTTCAGCCAAAATATTTCAACACTCGCTGAAATTTTTCAGGAACTTCTAACTAGCGATGTTAAAAAAATTATGAAACTTCTAACTAGCGAAGTAATTGTTCTGAATCTTGTTCAGACTCCGACGAAACTTAAATATAAATTTAAGAATTCAGTTAGCCTTCCTAAGCTTCAAATTCTTGTCAAAAGCAAATATATGTTTCAGCGTCTCCCATGGAGACAAAATTTATTTGAAGAATAGTATTTGGAACCAGTACTATGAAGTATTACAACTTGATTAATCCGCACTGGACTAAGAACATGGCTAGGAAACCTTCTTTGGGACTGAAACCAACCCACACCCTACTCTACCACTTCATAACCAAATGTACACTCCACATCGAAGAATGGACCATTGCTGGACTAAATGCTTGCATCTTCATGATCTACAGTCGCATCTGCATCCGATAGGCTAGCATTGTACGTCTTCAGCCTTTTCATGGACTTCAATTTGTTGTAGGGCGAATTAAGAAGGACAACAGGCAGCTCTCTTCTATAATTGTCGATGTATGCCTGCATGGGAGGATATGTTAGTATCATTCCATATCTTTACAAAATTGAGAGAATTTTAGGTGTTACTCTACGTACTTGGTCATAATGCAGTCTAAGATATTCTCCCGTAAAGAATTCGATGTTCTTCAGCATGTAGAGTGCACAAGAAGAACTACAACAATTAATTCTGTTAGCAGCATTTCACGTATTAACAATGAAAAACATAATTAGAAGCTAATACTGTTGACTGACTTGTCATCTTATCTTGGCACAGGCACATGCTTTACTGTCCATTGGGTCACGTTAATGTCTTGCCATGCATGGCTTTGTGGTCCATTGATTCGCAGCGATGCTCTCAGATGTGCTTCCACCCCACGTATTTGCCAAAGTCCATGGTATGAGAAGTTGCTCACGGTTCATGGCTAGGTATGATGCTAAATTCTGTGTTATATTGAAAGACGTTTAAAATCTCACCATGTGAACCACTTGTGTGCGTTCTAGGTAGCCTAAAAGTGAATCAAGAATCTGAATCTCCCTCCTTCTGGGGTTTACGACCACAAGGAACCAGTGGGTGTTCGCCATGTTCGTAGGCAGAAAAACCTGGACAGCAAAGATGATTACATCAACATGCATAATAATTAGAAAAAAAATGTGTTTATGTCATGGTGAGATGGTACCAGATCATGTCTGAGGTAGTTGTCTCCTTTTGTTGTTCCATGACTGCCCGCCAAAGCTGCCTCGTGGCAGTTCTCTACCTTACCATCTCTTTCGAGCATAGCGACACCGACCACCCTGTCAATGTAAACCAGCTGCCCATCCCTTATGTCATTAGGATGATCATGACGCATGATCTGAATCACAGCATCAAACAACTAAAACAAAATTCATGTTAATTGTGGCATTCAAAAAAAATTCAAGTTAATTGTACTGTGCAAAAGAAAATTGATAAACTAATTTGGGCAAATATCTTACTTCGTCACCCAACCATTTCTCATCTTCGCCTACATCTGTCATGGTGAGGCATTGCAAATGCTTCTGTTGCAGAACAATGTCATCAATTACCACCAATTGTTTATCAAGATCTGAGGTGTTGATAATTTCGGCCACATAACTCTGTCGAAACTTGTCAAGGTTGGCCTCCAGCGTCGAAGCACCTGTGTCTGTATCTTTTAAATTGCTTGCACGGTTTTTCCTCTTTGTATTCTTTGTGTCCTTGGAATCGTTGGTAGACTCCAATGGAGTCCTGTTTTTCTTTCTCTTCTTATCACTATCGTACAGAACAAAATCTTCATTGCACAATAATGAAGATGCCACTCTTTTCCGGCTGCTCGCACGAGTTGGTAGCATGGAATCAACCCCACTATCTTGTCGCTGCTTTGCTAAAGAATCATCATAGTTGTCCTCATCAACTGGGAAGACATGGGGCTCTTCCGGCTCCCTTATTCCCTTAGCCTTGGCAGACCAGTGGTTGCTTTTGGTACCTGCCTCTGCACCCACCTCAATACTGACATCTTCATCATCTTGATTTCTTCTTTCTTCAGTCTTTCACACATTCTCATTGTGCCTCAAATTCAGAGGATCCTATGATTCGAAATGAAGCACTTGTTAGCTTGCAATCTGCGCAAAATAAAAAAACAAAACCAGTTAACTGTAAAATGTGCATCACCAGGAAAGCTTCAAGGCTTGTCGTGGCTTTGGAATGCTTTCGTGAATCCAAACTCGGAGCACCCTGCGATGCATCAACCTCTTTATAAAGCTGTGAAACATTCTTGAGACTCTCCTTGCAAGCTGCAGCAACAACTCTGTCTTCTTCATCCTGAACGTGGAAGATCATATGTTAGCTACGGATCTGCGTTAACTTAAAACAAAATCAGTTAGATGTAAAATGTGTATCACCATGAAAGCTTCAAGGCTAATCTTGGCTTTTGAATGCTTTCGTGATTGCAAACTAGGAGCAGGCTGTAAATCTTCAGATACGTTCTTCTTGGGGGCATCCATGTAATCTTTTTGTATTCCCTTAGCAGAAATGCCTTCGGCAATGACCTCTGTGTCATCTTTTTGTTTTTGCTGGAGAGTAGTATTCTCTCCTGGGACCTCCATTAGGTCCGCAGGCACTCCCAGGTCAGATAGCTGTATGTCCTCGACTCCTAGGCGATCAACATCAAATATTCCATAGCGGTGGTTCTTTAAAAAAATGTGTTAGTGTGGAGAGTATTGACAGTAAAATTATTTATACAAACTCACAATGGTATACTTACATTGAATTCTGTGATGAGCTCGTCCGTGTGTCTGCCGTTCGCAAGGGTACGCCTAAGGCACTCGTCCATTTTTCTTTCAAGGTTGCACATCCTATCAAATTGTTGTGCACTGGCCTCCCGCACAATGGAGACAACTCTTTCAAATCAGCCAATACGCAGCCCATGAGTGCCTTATCCTGCAAATTACAAGCAGTTAGGAGCATATGACTTCGATTGTACTTGCAAAGTTACAATATATATTTGTGCGTGATGTTTATCATTTACCTAGCCGTCATTCTTTGGTTTGACCGGCGTCCCAACTGGTGGCGGAGTGAAAGGCCGCAGCAGGTCATTGACATACTGCATGTTAGTGTTGTTAGTATCATTCAAAACATATGGTACATAATCCAGGCACACAGTACTAACACTTTACCTCTTGAACCCCTATATATTTTTTGTTGATTATGTTGTCAACCTTCTGTGCCTTCTCGTCACTCCAGTTTTGGATGAGCGGCCTTAACCTTGATGCATACGAGATGGTAGAGTCCAATTGGTGCACCCTCCACTTCTCGTAGTACCACGTCTGCATTACAACAAAAACAACTTAGACAATTTTCCATAAAATTAAATGTATGGTATGTTAATAATGATTGTATTACCTGCAGCAGTGGTAGGTTGCAC